CATCTGACATACTTTGGGCATGTTGCAAGGAGGGACAGGTCCTTGGAGAGGGTCATCATGTTTGGCAGAGTGGAGGGGCGGCAAAGGAGAGGAAGACCTTTAATGAGACGGATCGATTCTGTGACTGGAGTGGTGGGAGTAAGTGCGCTTGGGATGGCTAGGTTGGTACAGGATAGAACTGCATTTAGAGCTCTTGTACATAGAATCACTACGAGTCACAAGACACTCAATGGCACATAACAACAACTCCAGCACCTCAACAAAAAAAAGGCTGACAACTCAATCACAAAATGGGCACAATATATGAATAGACACTTGATCAAAGAATAAATTCAGACAGCAAACAAACACATAAAGAAATTCTCAAAATCCCTAGCTATCATAGAAATGTAAATCAAAATAACAATAGATATTCTCAAGAATTTAACAGTCAAAAGGTGTGTTGCCTTGGGCAAATCCACATTCAAGGACCTCTTTAAAATGCTAAAGAGCAATGGGGCCAGTTTAAAGTGTGCCTGATCCAAAATGTATTTTTAATTGCTTCATTTGCTTTTGAGAGTTGGACAAAAAGACCAAAGAATTGATGCTGTTGTATTGTGGGATTAGAAAAGATTATTGAATATCTCACAGCAAATCTGTCCTAGAGGAAATGCAACCAATGTGCTTTTAGAGACAAAGATGGTGAGATTTTGTCTTTAATATACTTATAGCATGTTGTCAAAACTGGTCAGCCCTTGGAAAAGATATGCATGAGAAAAGCAAAAAGAGGGGAAGAACTTCAGTGAGATTGATTGGCACAATAGCTGCAAGTTGTTTACTTATATAAGTATGGTGGAGATTGTGAAAATAGTGTAGGACAGGGCAAAGTTTCACTCTCTTGTGGTCACTCAAATTGTCACTAAAAGTCAAAGTCAATTTGACAGCACCTAACAATAACAACAACAACATTGGAGACCTTGAATGGTGCAAACATTTAACACATTTGACAGATAATCAAAAGATTGGAGGTTTGAGTTCACCGAATTGTCTCAGAATAGAGGTTTGAAAATCCACTTCCCCCGACTCCATGCCCCCCCAAAAATCAACCATTGAAAACCCTATGGAGCACAGTTCTACTCTTACACACATAGGTCACCCTGAGATGAAGTGCTTTGATGGCAACTCCTTTTCATCATGATTATAACAACTTTGACACCTGTACCTAGCTAGCAGTTTAGAGAGAGAGAGTACACCTTGAGTGGTCTGTGCCCTGGAGGTATTTATTAAACCACGTTGCTACTTCATGGGCTTCAACACAAAGCATTAGAACGGCTCCATTTCCCCTTACCATGACACACAAGACATGATCACTGGCTGATATACTAAACATGACGGCTGGCTAACCTGCTGAACTGGTTATTTGTGGGATACTCAAGGGAAGGTGTGATGATGCAGCTATGGTCACTTTTCCTTCTAATGGCTAGAAAGATAATGTAGTGGTTGACATTACTTTAAACAAATTGAGTCATCTGAAGCATACCTACCATCCTCTATTCATTGCCCAGCTCTCAAATGCATGTTGTTGTTGTTATGTGCCGTCGAGTCGTTTGCAACTCATAGCGACCCTATGCACAACAGCCCTAAACCCTGCTCTATCCTGCGCCAACCAAACTGCCTCTGACACGCCCATGCCAATTACCCCAGTCACCAAATCAATCCATCTCATAGAGGGTCTTCCCCTCCTGCGCTGTCCCTCCACCCTCCCAAGCATGATGTCCCTCTCCAAGGACCCATCCCTCCTGGCAACATGTCCAAAGTATGTCAGACGAAGCCCCAGAATCCTTGCCTCCAAGGAGTAGCTTGCTTTAATCCTCTCCAAGATGAATCTGTTTGTTTTCCTGGCAGTCCATGGTACATTCAGTACTCTTCTCCAGCACCACAGCTCAAAAGCATCAACTCTCCTTCTGTCCTCCCTAGTCATTGTCCACCTCTCTGGTGCATAACAAGTGATTGCAAAGACCATGGCCTGTATCAAGCGCACCTTAGTCTCCAGAGAGACACCATTGCTCCTGAGTACTTTAGAGAGGTCCCTAACAGCAGACTTTCCCATCGCAATACGCTTCTTGATTTCCTGACTGCTGGTGCCAAGAGTGTTGACTGTGGAGCCGAGCAAACTGAAGCTGTGAACAATCTCAATCTCTTTGCCATCCATCCTGACGCTGCCAATTGGTCCAGTGGTGAGAATCTTTGTCTTCTTAACATTGAGCCGCAGTCCATACTGAAGGCTGCAGTCCTTGACCCTTCGCAGCAAGTGCATGAGGTCCTCCTCAGTTTCAGCAAGCAGGGTTGTGTCATCTGCATAACGCAGATTGTTAATAGATCGTCCACCAATCCTAATGCCACGTTTCTCCTCATAGAGCCCAGCCTCTCGGATAATCTGCTCTGCATACATGTTGAAAAGGTATGGAGACAGGATGCATCCCTGGCGTACACCCTTCCCAATTTTGAACCATGCAGTGTTACCCTGCTCTGTTCTGACTACTGCCTCTTGGTCCAAGTATAAGTTTCACATTAGCACAATTAAATGTGCTAAGAAGAATGTCCCATTCTTCTCAGAGTCAGCCACAGTTTGTTATGATCCACACAGTCAAATGCCTTTGCATAATCAATGAAACACAGGTAGACATTCTTCTGGTATTCTCTGCTTTCAGCCAAGATCCATCTAATATCAGCAACAATATCCCTAGTACCACGACCCCTTCTAAACCCAGCCTGGACTTCTGGCAATTGTCTGCTGATGTGCTGTTCTAATTGTTTTTGGATAATCTTCAGTAGAATCTTGCTTGCATGTGAAATCAATGACACTGTTCTGTAGTTTCCACACTCAGTTGGGTCACCTTTCTTTGGAATGGGAACAAATATAGATCTCTTCCAGTCAGTTGGCCAAGTGGTTGTTCTCCAGATTTCTTGGCACAACTTGGTGAGCACATCCAGGGCAACATCTGTTATCTGAAATACTTCAATTTGTATACCATCTATTCCTGGGGCCTTATTTTTTGCTATTTCCTTCAAAGCAGCTTGAACTTCTTCCTTCATCACCATAGGCTCTTGTTCATATGTTATTTCATTAAATTCTTCTGTATCTGCCAATTCCTTCCGGTACAATAGCAAGTGGTAAAAAGACCATGCCCTGAATCAGGTGCAATTTAGTCTTCAAACGGAACATCATTGCTTCTCAATAATTTGGAGAGATCTCTGACTACAGACTTTCCCAGTGCAATATGTCTCCTGATAACATGACTATTGGTACCAAGTGTATTGATGTGGATCCAAGTAAGATGAAGTCACTGACAGTTGCAGTCCTTTCTCCATCTATCACGATGTTGCCTATCAGTACTGTGGCAAGGGTTTTTGTTTTGCTTGATGTTGAAATGCAATCCTTATCTAAGGCTGCAGTGTTTAACCTTCTGCAGCAAATGCTTTAAGTTCTCGTCACTTTCAACAAGCAAGGTTGTGTCATCTTCATAAGGGATATTATTGATGAGTTTCCTCCAACCCTGATGTTATATTCTTCTTTATAGAGTCCAGCTTCTTGAATAATTTTTTTAGCATGTAGATTAATTAGATATGGAGAAAGTATACAACCATTATGCACACCTGTCCTAATTTTAAACAATGTAGTGTTTTGGGCATGTTGCAAGAAGGGACCAATACTTGGAGAGGGACATCATGCTTCGATGGTGGAAGGACAGAGAAAGAGAGAAATATCATCAATAAATTGGATTGTTTTAGTGATTGGGATAAAGAGGATAGATGTGTCAAAGACATTAAAGTTGGCACAGGATAGAGCAGATTTCAGGGCTATTGTACATAGGATTGCTATGAGTCACAAGCAACTTGATGACACATAGCAACACAAGTGTTCCCTTGTTCTGTTCTCACAATAGCCCCTTGGTCTAGGTATAAGTTTTGCACAAGGACAATTAAGATTATAAGATACAGGTTATAATTACAAGATGTAATTATAAGATTCCCATTCTTCTCAATGTTAGTCATAGTTTGTTTTGATCAAATGCCTTTCCATAGTCAATAAGGTACAAACAGATATTTGTCTGTTACTTTTTGCTTTCAGCCAGGATCCATCTGACCTCAGATGATATCCTGGTGTCACAGCCTCATCTACATGCAGATTTAACATCTGGCAGCTTTCTGTCTATGTACTGATGCAGCTGTTTTTGAATGACTGTCAGCAGTATTTTGCTTACATGTGATTTTAATTATATTGTCCAATAATTTGTACATTCTGTTGGATCACCTTGCTTGGAAATGGGAACAAATATGGATCAGTTGAGGTTAGTTGGCCAGGCATCTATCCCCCAAATTTTCTGACATAAAGCTGGACAATGAATAAGGATAACAGAAGAACTGATGCCTTTGAACTGTGATGTTGGAGAAGAGTATTGAATATCCCATGATTGCCAAAAGAACAAATAGAATCTTAGAGAAAGGGCAACCAGAGTATCCTTGGAGGCAAAGATGACAAATCTTTGTCTCACATATTTCAGGCATGTTGCTAAGAGAGACTATTTCTTGGAGAGGGACATAATGCTTGGAAAGGTGGAGGGACAATAAAAGAAAGGAAGACCCTGAGGCAGGTGAATTGACACAGTGACTACAGCAGCGAGCTTGAGTGTGTCAGAGAATGTGAGGATGGCACAGTATAGGACAAGGTTCAGCTCTGTTGCTTATAGGGTCTATATGTGTCATACATGACTCAAAGTCACCTAACATCAACAACCACCCCTTAGTCTTTTGTATTATATACCAACTACAGGTTTATGGTCTTCTGGCCTCCCACTATCATGCTCAAGTTACAGTAAAGTTCATGCCCCATTACCCCCAGGTTTATAGTCACCTTGTGACATATTAATCATTTCAACTGCACATGTCACATCATCATGATAATACAAGTCACCTTACTAAATGTTTAACCCAATTTTCTCTTCCTTCTTCTTGCTTAGGTGGATGGAGTGGAACCCTGGTTTCCCCTTAAGTATTGATGCCAAATGTCACAAGGATCTACCTCGAGACATCCAGTTTGATAGTGAGAAAGGAGTGGATTTTGTTCTGAACTACTCCAAAGCGTAAGTTCATAAGAACTCAAGAACACTGGGAAGTCCCCATAGTGGCCAGAGTGGAAAATATGTCTCTCACACTTTTCCAGTATATGCCTTGGGTGAAGGAACAGCTTTACCAAGCAACTTTCCCCAGACACTTTAGATTGTGTCTTGACTGCAAAGTGGCCTCTTCATTTACAGTCACAAGAAAATCTGTGTCTCAAAGTTACCACTTAGAGGATACCAGACAGCCAAACAATAGTGGTGTTTTAATCCCAGAAGTTCAGATATGTACTAGGAATGTCCCATCCTCACCCACATTACCCAACTTTGTGACACATGGCCAATGCAAATGTGGACAGTGTCCATGCTAAGCCTCAACACTGAGGATGCCCTGCAGTTCTAATGACCTGCTGACTTCTAGATGTGTACCTTCACCCATCCATTACAGCACTCCCATGAGGTAGGCAACTCTCTGCATCTAAGATAAGAAGTCATTGCTGCTGTTGTGTGCTGTCGAGTTGTAACTGACACATCGCTGACCATCCAATAGATTTTCAGAGGCTGTAAATCACATGGCAGATATCCCATCCTTCAGCAGAGCAGCTGGTAGATTAAATCCCAATGTCTTTGGGATTGCAGTACAGCTTCTTACCACTAGGCCACCAAAGTGCCAAATAAGGAGAGTGAGGTATAAAGTAAGCTTACTGGTAACAAATGTCAAAGATTCTGTTAATCTTTCATTGAGCTTGAAGTGTTGCAAGGGGTTTTTTTGGTTTTGAGAATTTTTTTTTAAGCTTTCCAAATCATGAGACTTATATAGGAGCTCAAATAGATTCCTGGCCCTGCCCTAAGGCTAGCTGAGGGGCATAGAAAAAGAAAAAGGGCTACCTGGCCGAAAGGGAACTGTGTGCACAGGTATAATGTGAGATGATCTTCTCACAGTTCTAAGGGAGTTGTGACATTTCCTGGTAGCTAAAAAGTGTAGCTTGTGTTTCCTAACCATACACCATTTGTAGCATGACCCTGGTTGATAAGAGAATGTCCTCATTATAGGAAATTGAGAAAGAGAGTTTCTTGCTTAGCAGGGCAGTGTGGAAATGGTGCTGAGTTCTGAGAGATGAGATGGGCTACCTCACCTGGAGACCAATATTTTCTCCACCTCACAGACCAACTACCAGGGATTGTTCCCATCAGGTGACATTGAGAAGGTGGCAGCTCCCTGAGAAGGCTTTGGGAAAGAGCAAGAAGGGTGCCTCACCTCTCCCACATTTTTCTTCCTAGAAAGTCAGAAATGCTATCACAAACCAGAGTCGGTCACTGTTCACCTCAATTCCAAATATGCAGTGAGAAATGGGTATCTATGAGAAGTCTTTATGAGAAGGGATCGTAAAGTCAGATCTGCAGTGCAGGAAGCTCTCCAAGCAACATTTGTGGATGAAAGGAGGGACCCAGGAGTGGGAAGACCTGAAGAAGATAGCAGCAGGAGGCAGGAGAATAGAGAGGAGTGTGGGATATGAAACTGATACAGCTTGGTATTGGAAAAAATAGAGACTAATGAAAGGTTTACACACAGAAACAATTGTAAAGGATTGATAGGCAGGGATGGGAGGGGATGGGGAACAAGCAGAAATTAGTGAATGGATGGGTAAGGTAAATGGAAAGGGAGGATATAGTGAGGTTTCAATAAGAAATTGTAAACAATGGCATTATACTATTGTACTTCTTGTTATAAAATGAAACACTGGAAATCAATTTTTTTGAGTCTAAGAAGGACTTTATTTACATGAACACTTAATTATAGGTAAGGCACTTCTGAGTATCTACATGCCCACATGCCTTCCATGGAGCTACTTGGCTTCAGGTTTTTTGTCCCTATCCTCAAGCTTGGGACTCTCAGGTGGCTGGCGATAGGCAGGAAAAGCCTCCCAGGGGCTGTTGAGGTCAAATTTGTGGAACTCCTGGGCCAACTCTACCGGCTCAGCCACCACCCGCTTCACCTCATCATCATAGCGAAGCTCAACATAGCCAGACAAGGGGAAGTCCTTCCGGAATGGATGTCCCTCAAAACCATAGTTTGTCAGGATCCTTCTTAAGTCAGGGTGATTAGCAAAGAAGACTCCGAACATGTACCAGATATCCCTCCAATTTTTAAAAAACCGAAACAAATTCTAATCACAGTGGGGGAAATGTAGGAGGAGAATCTGAAATAATTTTGAAGTTGTTCATCTGGATTTCAGGCAAAGTGGGGCATCATTATAAGGTGAAATTAGAAAATAAGAACTTTGGAGGAGGTATGTTATTGAGATTGGAAAAAATTATATATATATTATAATATACACACACATATATAAATATATATATGTGTGTGTATATGTGTATGTATTTACATATTGATCAAAATCACTGCCATGATGCCAGAAATGACTCATAATGGACCTTCCTGAAGTTTTCAGAAGCTGTAAATTGCATAGGAGGAGACTGTACATCTTTCTTCCTTGGAAGAGCTGGTGGATTTGAACCAACTCCCTTGGGTTGGCAGGAATGCAATTCTTTATCCACTAGGCCGCTAAAGCTCCGTGTGTGTGTGTGTGTGTGTGTGTGTGTGTGTGTGTGTACAGCTCTGGTAGCCTAGTAGCAAGAAGCTATGCTGCAATCCCAAAGGCACATGGTTTGAGGCCACCAGCTGCTCCACGGGCCTCTGAAAATTGCTGAAGGGTCAGTTATGGGTCAGTTCCAACTCTACAGTACTCAACAACAACAACAACGTACATGTATATGTATATGTATATGTATATGTATATGTATATGTATATGTATATGTATATGTATATGTATATGTATATGTATATGTATATGTAGATGCAAATATATGAAGGAAAAGGAAGGGAAGAGCAGATCATCTAATTAAGAATACCGGAAGAGGGCCAGAGCTCAGGAATCCAGGGAAGACAGAATCCTTATTCTTCAGCAACCTGAGCTACCATCCTCACACTGCTGCTGAGACTGAGCCCATTGCTGTAGTCACTGGGTCAAATCCATCTCACTTACAGTCATTGTCATAAGGCTGAACATAATAACAGGAAATTGCCTATATTTTCCCCTCAGAGTTACTGATGGATTCAAATCACTGGGAAACCTTTGAACCCTGGAGTTAATGATGCAACTTATTACAGACTAATAGTTATACACCAAATGTAATACACCAGAGCTCCCTAATTCTTCTTCCGTCTTCTTTATTCATTGTTTCACTTTCACGCACATATGAGCTGATTAAAAACATATGTCCTGGGTCAGGGGAACCTTAATCCTCGAAGTGACATCCTTGCTCTTTAGCACTTCTAAGAAATTCATTGCAACAATTTTGCCAAATGGATATTTAGTTTGACTTTTTTTTTCACTGTTGTTGCTTTTTTGGTCATCGATTATAGATCCAAGTAAAAGGAAATCCTTGACAAGTTCAAACTGTTTTCATTTATCTAAATGTTGATTATTGGTCCAACTGTGAGAATTGTTTCCTTATGTTAAGTAGTAATCCACACTTGGTGTTTATCAGTAAATGCTCTAAGTCTTCTTTATTTTCAGTAAGCAAAGTCGTGTCATCTGCATGTTGAAATCCGTACAGAACTCAATAGTCTTTGACCTTTGTCACTAAGTACTTCATGTCTTGTTTTCAGCAAGCAAGATTGTGTCATCTGCAAATTTCAGGTTGTTAGTTGAGTCTTCCTCAAATTCTGATGCTAATTTTTCTTCATAAAATCTGGTTTCTTGGATCATTTGCTCAGAACGCAGATTGAATAAAGAAGGTAAGAGGACACAACCTTAACATATGCCTTTTCTAATTTTGAAACCTGTTACATTCCCTTGCTCTGTTCTAGTTACTGGTTCTTGGTCCTCTGTGAGCACAACTAAATATTCTAGAATTCCCATTCTTCTCAATTATATTTGTCATTTATTGTGATCCATATAGCCAATACCTTTGCACAGAATCCCCTGGAGAGCATTAAACCTCAAATTGATGCCCCATGTCAAGTTTCTTATTCCGTAGATCAAGGGTGGGTCTAGGACTTCATAAGTTCCAGTTGATGCTTATGGTATTGGTATGAGGCCACATTTTGAGAAACTCTGTTTCTAAGTTTTGTGGGGTTGTTTGGGGTTTGTGGGTTTTTTATGCTTCTAAGTTTTAATTTTGAAAAGTCTTGCTGTAAAGAAATCTGCTGTTGTCTCCATGCTCTGTGTATCCTTGGCCAGATTGCCTTGGGCTGGCTGGACAACCCAGAGCACTATTCCTCAGGGCATTCTCTGGAGAACACTGCGATGAAGGTATATTTACCTCTTCCATTTTTTTATTTATCTCCTTCTCCTGAGTCTTTCTCTGCTTTTGAGTTGAGTTCAATGGCTTTTAGAGGCCCTGATATGTGTCTGGTACCTTCAGTCTTGGGAATTGTCACAAAGAGTAGGGCCCTTTTGCTTTTAATTTCTCCATGTCCTTTCCCCTACATTTACCTTAAACCTGTCCTTGTCCTGAAACTAAGTCAATAAAGTAGGTGTGATGCTCATTTGCTGTGATTGTTTGTACCAGGCCCACTCCAAAGCAGCGAGGGCACTTCCTGTGGACAGGGCAGTTGCATTGGTGAGCCTCGATTGGGTGGAAAGGAGCTACAACCAGGCTTCCCCATTGTAGGAGAAATGGGCCCAGACAACATCTCTCAAACACTAATGTATATTTGAATCACTGCAGGAACCTCTAAGCATATGGTCTTATTAGATCTGCATGGAGTTCAAAAGTCTGCATTTCCACCCAGTTCCCATATGATACTGATGGTGCTGTTCTATAGAATATATTTTGAAAAGTAGGTAATGCTCTACTTTTCTGGGAAGCAGGGGACCTATACAATTATAGTAAAATATACTCACTTATCTCAAATTAACTCTAGAGTCCCTGTTGTTGTTATATGCTGTCAAGTCAGTTCCAACTCATAGCAAAATTATGCAGAGCAGAACAGAGCAGAAATCCTGCACTGTCT